TAATCTTAATTTCAGTCAAGTCCAGCTACTGAATTTTGAAAGCTTTTCCGAAGACGCCAAAAGAGAGACTTCCCTGTTACCAGAAGTCCACGCTAGACAAGGCGTTATGTGTTAAAGCCAAAGGGGAAAGAAGATGGGCTGGTTTGTGGGGGGTCTCTCGCTTATGGAGCTTCACCCTTTTTATACAACTAAAATAAGTTGGCTCTAAAAATGTAACCTTCAAAAAAAATTATATAAGAAAGGAGTCCAAAATCCCCCCCAAAAAACTGTTATATTGGGATTTTAATGATTTTTTAAAATTATTTTTCTCTTCAATTTCAAACTTTTTGCAAAATTAAATCCGACGTTACAAATAACTAAAAATTAGAATCTTAAAAATCTAGCCTTTTGGATTTAGGCCCATTAGCACGATTAATGTCCGAGTCCGAGCTGTAATTTTTCTGTAACATTTTCCTCTCTCTCTCTCTCTCTATATATATATATATATATAAATATAGATATTAGACATTAAAAATTACATAATTAGCTTACATTAAATTAACTTAAATTTTATTATTTTATCTTACTTTCACGCAACTCACAAGAAAGGGGCACTTTTTATCCATTTTTTAATGTTATTTCGTCAAATTAATTAATGAAAAAAATAAATGGCCATTTTTTTTTAAAAAAAATGCCACGTGGCATGTTAATAATATAGCAATAATGTCACATGACATGTCATGTCTCAAAATTTTAGCTAATAATTTTCATATATGTATGTGTGTGTGTATATATATATATATAATGACAATTGAGGAAAAAATGAGAAATCTAACGTCAAACCAACGCATCTATAATATGGGTTTGACATCTAAAAAAACTTGATTAATTTTCTCTTTTTGAAATTTCATTCCCCGGGATCTGCATCATGAAAAGGAGTGAAGGAATGAAAAATTCATTAATTTAGTTAAGTTCACATGGCCCGTGCCTTGGCTTTCACTTCTTCTTCGTTAAGCTTCCCCCTTTTCTTCGATATATTTTCTGTCTCTGCTCATACTTTTGCTCCATGGCCGACATTACTGCTTGGTCAAATATATAACAAGAACTAAACCTACGGAAAATATATTCCCTCAAGTTTTTAATTTATTTGTTCCACGTGCAGAATCACGTGCCCGGGAGATTCTTATTATTTGATAATAAAAAAGAAATTAATAATCTTTTTATTCTCGAAACGTATATTCGCTTTTGAAGAAACAAAAGGAGGAAGAAGAAGAGAATGAAGTTGCGTTTTACGGATGAATTTTGTAATTATTTTTAAATGGATATTATTACATTTAAACGCAGAAATATTTATAAATACTTGGTGATTATAAAAAGAGATTATATCCGTATGAGACGTGTAAATTATACCTGTCCCTCAAGGTCATGCATGCAGCCATGATTACTTTGTAAGATGAAGCTTCTCCTTATCCTTAACATGGCCATGGGGACGCATCTAATTGGCATATATGATTAGCTACTTCATTTCTTTAACGAGTCCCTGACTCTCCTTTTTCCAAATTTCAGTATTCATTGCACCCACCGCGGTATCATTAATCTCTTTATATATACGAACACATAACTCATACATAAATCTTCTTCATCTTCAGAAACTGGTAATCATTATTATTGCCCCTCGCATCTGAATTTCTTCTTAATTATTTCTTCAAGGATAGCATCTCCATGGCCGAACCCAGGCAACTCTCAGTTGCAGTGGTGTGATTGAGGTGGAGAATAAGGAAGAGAAGCCTTGGTTCACGGAGATGGTGGTTTCAATTTGGTGATATATAGTGCAAATCAATGTTAAGGAAACTTGGCCTTCCAATTTTGAGTGAAAACAAACCTTTTTTTTAAACATAAATTAGCCCAGAAAAGCATATTAAACAAAGGTCTTGAAGAGCAAACCAGCCTAACTTGAGTCAGAATAGAGCCAAAAAAAACCAAGCCTTTGCGTCATCTATAATTTAACAACTGTACTCCAACTATACAAATTAAAATCAAATCAAACCTTCCACCTGGGCTCTCAGAGGGCGGACATAAGCTTCCGTACTTTCCCAACCCATAGGCTTTTGGTGTCATCTGTTTAAGCCTAACTGCACAAAGAAATGAATGATCCAATACAACTTCAAAGGGCAGAGCCCAGAAGCTGAAAGGAAACGCACATGAATAGCAAAACGTGGCATAGCGAAATTTAAAACTTTTCAAATATAGACGTAAACATTTAAGTTCTTATACTTAGAATAAATTATTTAGACTAAAAAAAATATTGTTTGAAGGAACTATTTTCTCTACGTTGAGGGAGAAATTTAAAAAATTTACAAAAAGGTAACAAAAAATTTTTAATGTATAATAATTATTTTATTATTCTATTAATAAAAATTTTTAAAAAAAAATATCATTTGAAGGAACCACTCTCTTAAGTTGAGAAATTTAAAAGTTTTATGAAAAAAATTAATAAAATTCTCTCTCTCTCATAAATGTGTTCCGGGTTTTCCTTTATTTATTTATGTTTTTTAGCAAGAGTGTTTGGTATATGGGTATTTGTTTGGCAACAGTATAAAATAAACAAGATTTACATCCTTCCATTCCGTTCTCTAATATAACAGTTTCCAACCTAAAATACTAATGTGAAACTAACATATTTTTTAAATATGTTAGTTTCCATTTGGAGTTCCTTCTCTAATGTAATACTAATTGGTTATTAACCAAAAAAAAAATCATAATATTAACAAAAAAAATGAAAAATTACAAACAACGGTAAACACTATTAAAAAAAATTCACATATGCATAATATATAAAAAAAAATGAAAAATTACGTACAAAAATAGCATACCATTATTAACAAAAGAAATAAACAAATTTAAAGCACAAAATGACTAGCAACTATGGTGAAGTATGAAGGCTGGTAGTGGCGGCGGAGCACATGGACAGGTCATGGAAGGGGAAGGGAAGAAAGAGGCCAGGGAAAGGAAGAGAGAAGTGGAGGGAGAGAGAGATAAGGATATCAGATAGGCAGTGGTGAAGCAAGGACAGGGAAGGGGACAACAGCTAGTGACAAGGTGTAGCAAATAGACTATTGGGGAGGGAGAGAAGAGAGGGAAGTGGGAAAAATTTTCGCACGAGAAGAAAGTGGGGAGGTGTTTATACAAGGAATTTTTGATAGAAAGTCGTCAAAAATAATATTTTTCAGTTCAAAACCCAAAATATTTTAACAATTTGTACTTATTTTTTATATGTGCAAATAAGCTAGCAGTACTTACTTGCACATGTTGCAAGTGCAAATATTAGATTTTATGATAGGAGAATAAGATTAAAGAAATGTTTGGGTGGGAAAAAAATTGTTTTTAGTGTTTTGGAACACTTTTCCAAAGTCTCTGAAAATGGAAATGAAATCAATCGGAAAAAGTCTATTTATGCAAATGAAAAATTAGAAAAGCTTCAGGCTTAAGTACCTTGATTTAAACAAGTTGTCATTAATTGATTGATCTGGTATATATACTCGATAAATTAGTAGTCAAGTTGCAGCATATGTATGCACAATACACAACATAAATAATAAAAAGCAAAAAAAAGAAATGAAGAAGTAGCCAACTCATAGTTCTTATATACAATACACGTTCAACTATTTTATTAACTCGAAACCTAATACTTACCCTAGAGCAAGGCTATCTCGCATGTACTCACTTTTCGAGTATAATTTTCTTTTATTAAAGTGACAAATTGTCCTATTCTTCAACTTCCAATTGAAATTGTTAAAGAATTCGTGGGAATCAATTTTAATATTTTTGATGGTGGCTTTCTGTTAAAAACATTTTAAATAAAAAAATTACCTTATTAATTAAGTTTCGATGAATATATCTGTTGACAACATACATATTTTTTAAAAAAAACAATTCTTAAGGTTCCAATGGAAAAGATCCATCAAAAACCTTTATTAATATCTTTTTCTTTTTCTTTTTTATCTTTGTACTTAAAATTTTTTAAAAAAATTGAGCTTTCTAATGGCTTTGATCCTTGGAAAGACATCGGCCACAATTTTTCCAACAAACAAAGCCAATTTTCTGCCAATCCATCTGTCAGAAATCCAATAGAAAATTGTTTGTCGGTAATTTTTCATCAGAATCAAGACTTTTACTTACAGTGTTTAAGATCGCAGTTACGAAGACATGTTTTACAATTACGATCTTATACATTACCTAGTGCTGTAACTATATATAATTTAAGAATTTCAATTTAAATATGATTTGCTTCTCACACAAAATGAACATAACTAAAATATGTAAACACATTTATATGTATTACACGAATAAAAATTAAGAATAATTTATACGCGGTTAACTGGATAGTGCTTTAACAGAAGTATCGTCATTAACCTCCTCCTATACCCCCATCATTCGTACAAAAATTCCTTATTACATGACGCCTTAATTAATCCATTTTCCTGTACAATCACTTTTCGCAAGAGCAGTGGAGTCAAAATTTCATCCATCAGACAGCATCGACTTCCCCTCCCAGGCAACACAAATACCATGCTGGATCCACCATCAGTTCGAGAAACGCAGATGTGTTACTGGGGAACATTGAAAGGCATGATAGAAAGGAATTCGTCAAAAACATTTTCCTCAAAGAGCTTTTCACGCCTTGCTCAAGGCGAACAAACCATGATGTTACATATAATAAAAAAAAAACATGTGATTAGTTTCTTGAATTTAAAAAGTATCACGTTACTTGAGTGTGTGCATGATTTATATTTGACCTTGTACTTCTTCACAATTTCTTTGTTTGAAAAAACAAACACAACATTGTAGTGTGTTTGACATTTTATTTTATAACTGCGCGCAAGCAAGTGGAGAGCTAGAGTTTGTAAATAACACTTCATAGCTCATGACGAGGGCTTTGGCTTTTCACAGGAACCAAAGTTTAATAAAGAAAAAAAGGAAATTGACCTAGCTCCCCTCTCAGTTAATTAGGGCACGTCTTCTCATATTTGATAAACAGCTGTAAAGTTGGGATAAAAGAGCCCGAAATTTTGCTCCACACCGGGTGGCTTGAGGTTTTCATTGAACAAGGCAAAGATATACCCTTCAATGCGAGTATTAGGTCTCTTAGGGGTCCCACCCTGGCTGATATGCGTGATAAAATTCTTGTTATAAGTGGCGGCGAGGTTCGGAGTCGTGAAGACGCCATTGCCGTCTGATGGCCACCCGCTTTCTGACACAACTATGTCCACATTAGAGATCCCCACCTTTTCCATGGCCGAGAAAAATGCATCTACAATGGCATCAAACAGGTTCTGGTACCCCAAGTTCCCATCTCGCACTACAGGCCAGGGGACGTGAATTGGGCATAAGCTAAACTAATGTCTGCTGGATTCCCGCGTAGGCAAAGTAGGGATACACATTGACCAAGATAGGGGATCCTTGGGCCGATAAGAACCGGAGAATACCAGAAAGAAAGGCAATTGCGTCGTTTGAGAATGCCCCAGCCGAGGGGGGATATGAGGTGCCCAAAACTACAGTTGCAACCACAGTGGAAACCTTGATTCTCTGCAGGCTCTTTCTCTTGAGGATATTTTGAAGATTTTGCATTGCCGGTAGGACTTGGGCAGCGAACTGCCCCGGGATGACCTCGTTCCCGACCGTTATATAGGAGATGGATACGTCATTGATGTATGGTGCGACGTTTGTGGTAAACCATTGGTTGGCCCCATCCATGCTTGATGCTATTTGTGGGATGTCCGCATTTAGAACGCCTAGGGCTACGTTGATCCCGCTCCCCTTTAGGGCTTGTAGGGCTGCAGTGTTGGGGTCAAAGAGTCTCATTGAGGTGACGTTAAGTTTCTTGTAGAAGGCAACCACATCAGAAGCTGGGGGGAGATTATTCCCCATCATGCCATAGCAGATACCATACGCCTCTGTGAGTTCCATTAGGCTATGCATGGTTAATGGAATGGAAAGGACAAGTAACAGCCAAACTGAAGACGTCATTTCTTCCATCAAACACCTGTAATTGTTATATTGACCAGAAGACTGGATTAAGATTTGGCATTCAAGTGCCCATCAATATTTTTATTTTTTATTTTTTATTTTTAACTTTCAGAAACAGAAGATCATACCCAGAACTCTGTGTGTGTGTGTGTGTGTGTGTGTGTGTGTGTGTTTGTGTTTAGATTGCTTTGGTGTCTCAAAATTCATAAGGCTGCTAATTGTGATCATGCTCTACAATCAGAAACAAGACTTCTATGCGACTATCCATTGAAGCAAATCCAAGGGAATGTATATTCTTGAATTGTCGTACAAGAATAGGATTTGTTACTATCATCTTGTGATGGTTAGCAGGATTCTAACCAGTCTTATTCTCTGTGGTCGCTTCCATTTATTAAGAACAACCGTCATTTAAAACACTTACAATTTTCTTGTGACAGCCTTAATGATTTTATCGAAAGAGATAATTCTGAATTTTGTTTACATGCGGAACAATGAAAATGGGAGGAAAAGTGCATACACTTCATGAAAAATTTGTATTCATATACGAGTATGGAAAAACACATTAGGTCGTGATTGCAAGGTAAAAGGTCAAAATAAATATGCATTTGTACAGTTAGAACAAATTCGAACCACAAAACGCATGTTATAAAACATTAATACTTTCCTGTATATTAGTTAGATTTCACAAAATTCTATCCTCGTTTAAGAATTGAATCAAAATTTATTATATTTAATTGTTTCCTATTCCAAAATTCATATTCAGATTTATTTTTACCTAAAACAAGTATAAGGCATGTGCATCTAAGCTATAATAGAAATAAATGGATAAGGATTTTAATGTAGGGAATAGTGAAATATAATAGATTTTGGTTTAATAAGATGAGGTTTTATGCAATGAAACTAAAACATAGAGGTACCGAGAATTTTTTTTCCCAAAAAACATACTAATTGAGTTTCCCCTCAAAACCATGACGAAGAAACAAAGTCTGTTATTCTTAAAAGAAACCTATCAGTAGAAGGAGACTTTCAGTCTCAGTTTCTTGGTTTTGGAACGAAGTTGAACACGTGCATATAGAAACATATTGCATGTAAAGACACTAATAAAGGGAGACATTCATTTTTAAATTGTTTTCTTGGCTAGTAAAGTGCAGCATTGTCCGACGAGCTAACTTAGATTATCGAGGAAGGCAAGAGCAGTACCTGGGATTTGAGAAGGCGAGACCGCTGTTGGAAAGGGTTATCTCTGTGGTGAATGATGGCAAGCCTAGTACTCGCTTTTATACAGGATTATAAGCACGTTGGCCGTATTCTCAAAAACCTTAATTCTTTATTTTGCTTTTCCATTATTAATAGCACAATTACATACAGAATTAAAATAACTAATTACAACAATGATTAAAATTCCACATAATTTCAATCATTGTTACCTTAATTCTTTATTTTGCTTTTCCATTAATAGCGTGCTTATATACAAAATTATAATAATTAATTACAACAATGATTGAAATTCCACATAATTTCAATCATTGTCATAATTAATTATTTTAATTCTATATATATGTGAATTTTTATCACTGTTGTAATTAATTATTTTAATTCTGTACCAGGGTAAAATATAATTGAGGAAAATTCTATTCTCACCATAAAATTCTCTCCCCCAGTTGGAAATGAATTTGTTTACTTTCCTTGTTTATGATTAAATATGTGATTTTAATTTGAAAGTGATGTCTTTATTAGCATATTGTTAACCCAAAATTTAAGAATTTCACGTGGGAATTCTCTTTTTTTTATATATATATATTTTCATAATATATAATAAAATCTATTATCCTTTTTGGGATTTTTATGGATTATATCTTTCAGTTATTTTATTCATTTTTTATTTATTTAAAAAGAATTCAGTTATTATGTTTCATCATTAGTGATACAAATTAGCATATAGGAATGAAAAAATTTATGTATTTGACAAATTACATATATTTTGCTTTCTTACCCTCGCATGGAAGGGAGGTTGTGCCTTTGTTAGAAAAGAATTAAAGGCTATACATACACACACACACACACACAAAAGGAAAGATAGTTATTACTCTCGGTACCAAATATATCATTTCTTATTAATATGTTCTCATTGTATATACTCGTATTATCCAAAACCCAAGCAGCTATATGTTAACATTATAATATAATATAACATTATATAATATAATATAATATAATATAATTTATAAGATAATGTAAGATAAATTGGTTTCTAATAATAGCAAATTCAGATATTAATATACGAATCTAATTTATTTTTATTTTTTTACAATTTAATAAAAGGTGACATTTTCATAATCATAGTTTTATTTTATCCAAATAAACTATTAATAATATTTTCTAAAATTTTAAACTACAATAATAGAGATATGAATGCAATACAAACACATGAATTACCACCCTATTTGATGAGCGTGGACTTTTATTGAATTGTTTATACTACGAAAGAAAACTGTAGCGATGGCATGGGATAGTAGCAAATAATGAAATATAAGGTGTTATAGCAGGGTTAATTTTGTTTATTACTTTTAAATCCACTTTTAATTAATTAATTTGAAAGGTTGCTTTTAAATCCACTTTGTTTAATGGTTTATAAGAAGTAAATTAAATTCACCCACTGCCAAGGAATTACATTTTTAGTTAAGTTCTTTTTTTATTTTTACTCTGCATTTTTGTTATCTAATTTCAGTGTTTTCTTTCCAAAATTTTAATTTTATTGAATACTTCTAATTACCAAATTTTATTTATTATTTGGTATTTTTCTGACTTTTAATAGAGATTGATTAGTACTCAAACCAATAACTCAAATAAAAATAGACCCGATATCAAAACTTGATATTGACAAGGAGTAGAACTTCGAAACCTAGTTTATTGTTGAGAAACACGAATGAATTCTCAATGTCTTCAACCTACTCCTAAACTTACTATTTATACTAATCCTAATAAGAATAAAAATAAAATCAATCTAATTTTTGTTCTTATCTCTCTATCTCTAATCTTAAATAAACTCAATTCAAATCCTAAACTTAGGGTGCTTTTGGATGGGCTTCTTTTTCAAAAAAGCACTTTTTTGTTAAAAAAGTGCTTCTGGTCTAAAATAAACTGTTTTTGTAAACTTATTGAAAAAGCAAAAGTAGAAAAAAAAATCAGTTTTCTACTTTTTTTAGAAGCTATTTCAAATAACTTTTGAAATCTATTTCTGTAATAAAAGAGAGAGAGAAAACTATGTCCCCACATAATTTCAAAATGACCATTTCATCCTTACAAAACTCAGTCCTCTTCTTGCATCCATCACTGTCTTCTTCTTATTGTCCCATTGCGGTTCACTGAGTTTTTGATCGACGAACCAGATTGACAAAGCAAGCGGCTAGGTTTGGCTACAAAATCGTTGTCCAGCCATAGATCAATGAGAACTAAGCGAATGAAGCAAAATTGCAGACCAATCAGAATTGATTTGGCAGTGAATAGTAATGTCTTGTGATGTGTTTGTGATTGCCCTGTGATTTTGTTCAAAGGATGTGTCTGCAGGGGAGATGTGTGGGGTGAACAAAAAGGATTTTGTGAGGAGGTTGAGCAATTGGTTAGGAAGAGTTGCAGAATAAGGCAAAATATGGCTAGAATTGAAGTTGAGATATTGTGTAACGTTTCGATAACTACTAGCTCTAGCAACTTATTGAGCATAAACCACTAACCTAAAATGTTTAAACCCAAGTTGTTCAGTAGTAGTCTCTAGTCTCTTATAAGTCTAGGATCTTTCCCATATTTTATCGATGTGGGATTTGCCTAAAGGTGTCACACACACTCCCTATTTGGAATGTCACATACACTTCCTCCTCTTTGGGACTCAGGGAGGCCTCCCCCTCTAGGGTGTCACACACACTCCCTCATTTGGACCTTAGCGTCCTTACTAAGATTTGTTTCACTACCGTTCAATGTTGCACGCAGAGTGGCTCTGATTCTAACTTTGTCACAACTCGAAAACGGATACGTGACCGTGCAGGGGTTAGAATAAATCCCAATCCCGCAAGCCTAATAGAAAAATACAGAATTTTAACTAAACTGATAATTTGATATAAAACAAAAGGTAAATCAAGCCATAATAACTGAATTATCAACATAAAACATGTAAAACTTGTCTGTAGTCAAATGGAGCATATTAAAATCTCAAGAATACAAAGTCTAACAGAAACTGAATAACTAACTCTGAAAATCCAAACTAAATCAATTAAGAAATACGGACTCCTTTCAGATGGCAGGATCCATCGGACCAGCGAACTCAAAATCTGGAAAAAAAAATAATGAGTAAGTCAACAAACCCAGTGAATAATAACATGCATTTATGAGAACAAAGGACATGTATATCATATAAGATTAAAACATTTTACTATTTAACAAATCTTTTACCTTTTACAGAAACTCTATCATATAACAAATCATTTACAGATATCGAAATCTTTCAGTGTAACAGATCATTTTCATATTAAAAAGATCAGAATTTTAAATCCAAACATTTCCATAATTTAGGGAGTTCATAATTCAGAACGTAACATATATCAGGAAACAGGACGGTGACACACAGTCAACCGATAATTAGAACGGTGACACACAGTCAACCCATATAATGTAACGGTGACACACAATCAGCCCATATAACAGAATGATGATGCATAGTTAGCCCATATAACAGAATGACGACATATCAGTATGTCCGGATAATAGGACGACAGCATATTAGGCACGTTGACAAACAGAAATCAGAAAGTGGCATACTCATATGCCCATATACATATACAAATCTCACATGTATATAGCACCATCACCCATGCTAGATGGGGACCCGTACAGGGTGCATTTAGTCTAAAGCATACTGCCGTTAGCTGTAACGTTCTAGAATTCAAAACTCCCTTAAAACAGTTTCCAAAAATATCAAAACAATTTACAGAACTTTCCATTTTTCAAAA